TATGCAAAGTGTTCCAGAGCACCCATGCCAGGCTGTCAAAGCAAGTATAATTAAAGAAAAACGCCGTATAAAGGTCCAGCCATTGTCAAATTTCTTCTAATAAAACATTGTTTTTGAGGATGATTAAATATACGCTTCCTTGAAATTGTCTGAATCATTAGATAACATATATAGCGCGTAAAATTCTTCAACATTTTGAAAATAAGAGCCTACAAGCATTCGAAGAAATTCGTATTTCATCGGAGGAAATTTTGCAGCTCTCGAGTGTTCATACGGTGTTTTTCTTAGCACTTCAGTATGAATCCTTTATTGCATGAATCAATCACCGATTTCAGAGAATAATGCGATATTTGACAGTATTTTAATGACTATAGGAACAAATATAGTCTTTTTTTCCTTTTTCTTTTATTTTGAAATAAGTTTGAAGATCTGACAGTTCTAATCCTCCCCAAAAACCATTTATTGCTCCGATGCAATCCAGTGCCACAGAAGACCAAAGCCAGAAAACTACTTGTTGCTTTTATGCATCGCTTTGTAATAAAGTGTTAATAACCGAGTATAGAACAATGATATTTGTAATAACGCCTTGATGCAACTATTCAAGCTCCATGGACATCCGTATCGCGGAGCGGCGACGCACTGGCGCCTACAAACCTAAAAGGGATACTTCACGCATTGCGCAACGCGCGAGGTATCCCCGTTAGGTTTGTAGGCGCCGTGTTTCGCGCTGGATGCCCGCCTGCCACGGCGCTTGAAGCAATTATTTCACACCAGAGGTATTGCACAGTATCATATGAAACTGAAGGCGTTCTAATATATTAGTAATGACAGGCATCCATCAAAAGTACGGAGCTTTCCTCGCAAAATAAATCAAGATACTACGGCCCAAAAAGAGAGCAGTATCCCAAAAACTTACTAAATCCTAGCATCCGTAATTAGTAACGTTTAGCATACACTTTATCGCCTGGCTGTTGCTTAATCGCCATCGGCTATAAAGGCTATAAGAAATTGTGTAGCCGGCTATAGAAGCTATTGGAAATCTTACAGCCGGCTGTAGGTCTATGGTATTTTGGAACACAGATTCTACTGCCAATTTTTACCAGGGTTCATATGACGTTTCTCTGCTGCAGTAAACTTGCTTTGATGGCAGCCAAATCCGGCACGGGTGGGTGGTCTGGGACACCTTGTGTAAATTTTGCGACGCTGTATCACTACTGATCGATGGATCGTAGTATCAAGAACGGTCTTAAGCCTGTGTCACACTATATCAAAACTAGTCATCAAAATATCAATGTCAGGTGTTGTGATTGGCTCATTCGATGACTTGGACCAATCACAGCTCTTGACCTTGGCATTTTGATGGAGTATTTTGATAGTGTGACACAGGCTTTAATCCCCGAGTAACATCAACTGATAAAATTGCGCCCCAAAAAATAAAAATAAAATAATCGATTTTTGTTTTTTCACCTGAGCAACTTCAAAATAATAGCATTTTATTTGTGAGAAGTGCAAAATTTTGCCAATGATATGTTGCCAGAACGATCTTTGAACTGAAGCCAAATTTTCACTGGAGGATTATCTCACTATAAAATTTTGCTTGGGACATCTTCCAAGACAATTTCCGTGTTTCCCAAAAAAGGGCGCACTTTTTTGAAAGGCTTTTTCCATCTGAAATTGCTCTGGAGTTGAATCTGAAGTCAAACTGAGATTGGGCATCTTTTTCGTTCTTTAACTCCATTGTAGTTTCACTTAACTTTTGAAAGAGAATAAAACCTTATTGAATTTACAATCATGAAAATAGTTAGAATGGAAGAGGAAAAAATTAATTTTTTTTAAAGTAAAATCCACATAATATCTCAGACTTTACTTTTTGAAACCTTAAAGAAATCGTACTGCCCTCAAGTGGTATTTTAAGATTTAGTTTCAAAAAATTTCACATGCCGAATACAAGTTAAAATTTTTGGCGGTCCTCTGAAAGTTGTAAACAGTGATCTCTTGCCCTTTCAGTCCTTTTAAACTTGCTTTATACATTAAAGTAGATGTCGTCACCTTCCGGCCAAAGTATCACAAGTGTCGTGTGACGTTTAAAAATTTCCGCCTCATTTTTTATTTTTTTACAGATAAATTGTTGGTTGAATCTGTTTGAAAATTTCAGTGAATTCCATCGGCGGCACTAAGAAGATTCAGTGAAATTTTCGGAGGGCTTCGTTGAAAAATTTCTCAGTAAAAAAATAAAAGACGGCGGAAATTTCTAAACGTCGCATTGCGCCTGTGATACTTTGGTCGGAAGTTGCCGATATGTAAACACAATTTCCGCAGTTTTTCTCTTCTAATGCAATATTTAGAGTTAATAAATATCCTGACCAAATACTAAAATGTGATATTGAGAGATCTGGCAAATAGAGAGGCGTGCGAGAGTTTGTGAGTTCTTTAATTTTGCCTTCGGCTTCTTGGAAATACGTCTTCATGACTAGCCTCTGCCGTCGGTTGACAACTATCATGTAGTCATGGAAACGGCAAGAAACTTTGGAGCAAGTTCTGAACTTTTATTCCCTTTCCGGGGGCTCAGAGAAATAATCGCTTCACTTTCGCAACAATTCTCGGTTAAACTCTCTCGAAATATGTACAACCGTTCACGATAGAAAGGAACTTATGGTGCCAAAAAACTTCAATTTCAGCCTCACTGTCTAGATAGGTTTCTTCAAAAGCCTTTCAACAGAGAGGAAGTGAGAAGACGTGAATGAAGAAAATTGGCGCTATGATTGCTCTGAGTTTTTAGTTAAAGATACGGAGTTGCGAAGTTATTTTTATCGAATTTTGAGACCGCATTTCTGTTGTCATGATGCTAAAAAATTCACTTACGAACTTTTTAAATAAAGTAAATTCAACGTAATAAAGGCAGGGCTTTTGTAAAGGGAAAATATCACATTCGAGCGCAGTTTCGATATCAGTACAATATGCTATATTTCTCCTTTAAAAGAAGAAGACAAACCCCTGTTTTTATTATGCTGCATTTGTTAGTCAACTTTGGTAAGTGGACTCTTTAGTCTCGTGAAAACAGGAATGCGATCTTAAAATTCAAAAATGACAAGTAGCTAAAAACATGAAACTATTTGATGCTATATATGTCTCAGCTTCTCAGCTTCTCAGCATCTCACGTTGCTCTGACACAAAATATGGCGGCCATTGAATCATCCTCACGCCCTTTTTTGGCACGCAGATTAACTTTATAATGTTTACCGGATAATGTTTTTCCAAAGAAATTTCAAATTCCGATTTTTTTAACCTAATGTGAGAAACAAATCCCTCCTCTGAAAATCTTACCTCCGTGTACTAAAATCCCTTTTCACACTCACAGAAAGGCGTATTTCTTTGTGTGAGCACTTCTCCATGTGAGCCCTAGAGAGCCTGCATTTTTGGGGACAACGGGGCTCACGTAAAAATGCAGATGCGCCCTTACGTCAGACGAGCCACGATATTTGTGAGTAAAATATGAACTCCATTTTGCAATATAGAACTACTGTTTCTGGCTCATCCATGAAAGCACCTATCTGCATAGGGGAACTTGTCGCACATACGTTATTTCTAATGGAACCAAAATTGGGAGTTCCTCTCTGCAAAATTTAGTCAATTTAAAAGCTAAATAAGTCAACTGCGAATTTTACGGAATAATTCGTAAAACTAGGATCTAAGTAAGAATAAAAACAAGAGATCAATAAATGATATCACAGCCATTAGTTTATTGAGTAAAATCATAATATTTCTTCTATTATACTTAAAAACTATAAACTTTCGCTTAAAAAAGACTCAATTTGAACAAAAGTTTAATTAAAAAACTTTTCCATGTAAGAAACAAGTTTTGAAGTAAAGTCTGTTTTGCGGGCGAGTCGGACAATAAAAGGAGCGTCTATTCCACTAGTCTCCTTTTTCTTGTTTCACGTGCTCTTTTCCTTTTATAATTCATTCCGGAGCTTTTCAGATGAATGCGACTGACGCTCCAAACCTCTCTACGAGCATTCTTCTTGCACAATATTTCAATCTTTTTCCTTCTTCAATATTTCATCGCAGCCGTGTTTCCGGCAGAACATTTTTTGCTGTAGAAATATTTGAAGCATCCGCCATCCTCAAGGCGTTAAAGTCTCAACATGACGGATCAAACTTTCCGTCAAATTTTTCGTACATCAAAGTTCGTTACCTAATTGTGTGCTACTGGAATGATACAGGAAAAATGGTACAAAAACTGGATGGAAACTTACTTGTGACGTCACTTAATAGTTCTCATCCAACTTCTTGTCAAAAAGTTCGCCACAAGGGGGTATCATATAGAATCATTTTAAACTTATCTCTCCACTTCCCTGGATTGATTAAAATTGATTGAAATCGAATTCGAGGCATTGATCGTGTGGATTAAGCCAAGTCAAGTTGCGTCCTAAAATTTGACACACATTTACGCGTTACTTTTGTGACAAAGAAAAACGATATAATTGCATGATGAACAAAAACGAGCAGAGATATTGAGCTTTCGGAGGGCCAAAAATATTACTTTTGGCCAAAGTTTTATTTTTTTCTCTTTTGTCTCTTTTTTCTTTTGAAACAGATTCTTGCTTTAGGAAATTCCGTCTACGAGTCCTATCAATAGAAGCTGTTAATTTCGGAGCCCCGACATTCAATCCGTCATCTAACCAATAAATAATACTTTCAGAAACCAATATATTCTCCATCAGAAAATCCTACGTGATTTGGAAAATGATCGGTTTCGATTCAATTTTTGGAGGGGGTGGGCCGGACTTTGTGGCCACACTGGAAAAAAAAACACATTGGATCTAGAGTCCAGACTCTTAAAAACATCGACAAGAAAAAGTACTCTTGATTCAATCATAATCTAGCTTAAATCAAGAACCAAGCCTCTTAGTTCAAGCGGATTTCGTTTTGATTCAAGCAAAAATTCGATTGAATCAAGAGTATTTTTTCTTGTCAATGTTTTCAAGAGTCTGGGCTCTAGATCCAGTGTGTTTTTTTTTTTTCCAGTGCACCCTATCGATAGCGTACATTGTTGACGTTACAATATCCTACATCTCCATGGATCACCACGGCCACCACGGGTGTTTCGGGCCGGTTCAGAGGTTACCCTGGTCCAAGAGCGTGTTGAGGTCCTTGACTAGGGCGCCGAGGACAGGCCTATGCTCCGAGTCCCGGTGAAATACCCTGTCGAGGAACCCGGGGCTGCAGAAGAAGTCGAAGATGACGTGGACTTTGGCGACGGACTTGTCGGTGAGGTGCCTCGCGATGAGGTTGACTAGAGCCGTGCGGGCCTCCTCCAGGACGGAGACCAGATAATTGCGGTCGTAGCTGAAATCCACCTCGTAGAAGCTCACCACGGACATGGCCGCAGAGCGGAAGCGAGACTTCAGCCGCTCGACGTGCTTCAGCTCCTCGTCGCTGAAACTCCGGTTCCGGTCCAGCACCGTGATTTTTATGAACGTCTTGATGATGTTCTTCAGGAGTTTCTCCGCTTCCCGCTTGTTCCCGCTCTGCAATCAAACCAACTTCTTTCATCAATCCAGGAGTGGAAAATGCATTCAGAAAATTATTAGAGGGCCGCAATGTGAACTACTTGAGCAAGGGAAGTCCAGGTTTGCCACATTGTGCGGTAAAATGTGGATATTCCGTCGCTCTACTGGTGTAAGGGCGCATCTCAATTTTCACGGGAGCCTCGTGCTTCATAAAACTCCATGCTTTTCGGGATTCAAGCACAAATTGAGATACCCCCTTCGTCAGAGGAGCGAAGATTGGACATGGGTTAAAATGGACCGCGTTTCGCAGAAAGGAACCACGTCACATCAGCTATTGCCGAATTTAACGGGGCAATTTATTTTGTTTAGAAGAGAACGCTTGTGTGGATGCCTTTGAAAATTTTAATGAATTTGCATCGGAATATGCAGACAATTTACTGAAATTTGCACAAAAATCTACACAACCTTTTTCATGTAAAAAATAAAAATGTCCTGTTAAATTTAGCAGTAGCAGATGTGGCTTGGTTCCTTTCTGCTCAACGCGGTCAAAATGGACGTATCTCTACCAAACAGAACCATGTGCATTAAGCTATGAGCCCTGAGACCCATAAGAATATATGCAAAACAGGGATCACGTCATGATGCACACAGTTCCGTTTGGCAGAAATACGTCTAAATGGAGACACTGCTGATTTTTCAGGCTACCTAGCAACAATTTCTGAGCTTGTCTCACGTGGTCGTACGGAAAAAATGGGGGCCAAGTCCAGTCTCACATAATTCGCCTTCTTCAAAGAAAATTATTTTTTCAAATAGAAACAATTTTTCCTGCGATATTTTAGGATTTTTTCATTGCTTTGAAAAATATGGAGGTCAAGCCAATCTTACTCAATGCAAAGAGGGAAGGTTGAGGGGTTATCTAAGGGGTATCTCACGAGGGAAAGGGGTCGAAAATTTGGCCAAAGTGCCTTCTGTAGTGCTTGACCAGCCCCCAATTCAAATGCATAGAGAAAAAAAGGAGGTGTTTGCATTTCGGGCATCTTGGAATTTTTTCGATGACGTAGGTCGGCACAGCGACTTTTATCATCGATTTTCTTGGAAATGGTGTAATTTATGGAAAAAATTTATTCTATAAAAGTGCTTGAAATTATATCATGAGTTGGTTTAAGCAAAAAAAATGGGATATTATGGTCCGTTTTTCATACTTCAAATTCCGGATTTCGCTGGCCAGGTTGTACCGACCTACGTCACAGGGTAAAACGAACCTCAAGATGCAAACACCTCCTTTTTTTCTCTATAATTCAAATGAAACCTGCTAAAAGCCAATAAAACCTGTGACAAGTCCAACGATTTTATTTTTTTTCATTTTTTTTTTCATTGTATTAGACCTCTGTTTGAAAGGACTTCAATCAACTGTAAAAATTTCATTGAATGACGAAGAAATAACTTTAGCGGAATAAATTTGAATCTTTTGACATGTTACATGTTGAATAGATCAAATATAAATCGTATGCATCGGTGTCAATGCCTCATTTGTGGGTTATTTTTAGTGGCATGACGTGTTTTGCGATGTATCGATTGATACGCCATTCAAACCAATGAAAAAAGAACGATTATCACTAGAATAATCGATTCTTTACCATATTTTCAAATAAGATAATATCGATAGTCAACTATCGCGCCTCGCCAATGAGTTTTTTTGCACATCAGTACAATCTCTCGCGGACGATCACATAATTAAATAAATTTACTGATAATGACCAGGCGGTGACTTACATGATACTTAGCCAGCCTGTGTAAATTGTCTAGGACGTTCGATGAAACATCATCTATTAGAATCTTTGCAACATTTTTATTTGCCATACGACTAAATATTTTTTTCTGGACTTGTATCCCAAGATCTTTCGATTTCACGGTGTCCGCCATGTCTGAAACAAATACAAAATAGAATAAATTAAACAGGAAATTTAAACCTTAATCACAAGTACGATTTTAGTATCTGTGTAAACTTGAGTTTTTATCGCTCATTTTTAATCCCGAGTTTGAGCGTACATTAGAAAATAAAAAATTGAGTTCAAAAACAACGACAACAGACTCATGGAAAGCTAGACCTTAGACGGGTCATAATCTCTTCCATAGATCGATCATGGCTCGTGTACACGCCGAGAAAACGAGTTTTTACTCGATACATAATCATTGAACGCACATTTTAATGACATATTATCTAAGGAATACTTTCAAATGAAGGGAAAGTGATCCTCTTTGATCTGGACGTAATCAAATCTTTAATATATGATTTCCAGTCGTTCGTTACAACAATCAAACAGACATCGGCTGCGTTGCTCGGTATTTTGGCTAACTATTGAAATTGATAGACAAGACATAGACAAAGAGGGAACATGGAGTGATCCTATTGGTTGAAGCGAGAGGTTGTTATAGACTTAGAAGGAAAATTATGGACTAATTTATTGTAGGGTCTCTCGTGGGTTGCTGTTAGTTAGTCTATTACTTACCTCTTTTGTCCATATCGCAACCACCCGCTTCTACCGATAGAATCCTTTTATTTTCTGTTTGTCTTTTTTGTCAATCGCGTTGTCTATCAATGTCAGTTATCAGCCCGCTGTTTTATTAGTAAGATAGCTCTGATTAACATCGATCAAATATTGACCCTTCGTAGCATGTAGTCTTATATTATTTTCTGTCCGGCGGACAAAACTAAAATATCTGAAATATGGCTAAATGAAACATTAAAATAATATTTCTCGCATCTCGGAGAAATCGGGCAGATTTGAAAGCGTTCATTTCGGTTTGCCCGCAACCCCGCATACTTAAAATAGGCAGTGAAAAACTTGCAACATCGCAAGTCGAAATGTGAACCATCGGCACTGAGAAAATGTGTGACTGCGCACGCAAGAGAATGTCATTTCAGCGGTAATCGTGCGCTCTTTTTGGCAACAAGTCGAAGCCACACTGTTGAAGGCGCTCTGCGCAACTATTTCACCTCGGAAGTGTTGCACAGTATCAAACGGAATTGAAGGCGCTTTAAAGTACGTTAATTGACTGGTATCATTAACCACTGAGTATAGTCCTACTGATCCTTCGATAGAGGCACCTTTTCGCTCGAGTTTTGTGAAGATTGGAACAAAGTGGCACTATTTGACGGAAAACATAAATTACAATTCAAATTTTCAAAATTCCAAAATCCAAGACGGTGGATGTGGCCAAAAATTATGTCTCGGCTTCAGTTCAATAAATGTTGGCGAAGCTCGGTCCAAAAGTTTATTTTTGGACGTAAAAGTCGAATTTTCAGTCAAATTTTGATGATTCAAAAATCCTAGATGGTGGAAAACCCGTCAAATGCTGCATGGTAATCGTGCTCTTTTGGCAACAAGCTGAAGCGACACTGTTGAAGGCGCTCTGCGCAACTATTTCGCCTCGGAGGTATTGCACAGTATCAAACGTAATTGAAGGCGCTTGAAAGTACGTTACTTGACTGGTATCGTTTACCACTGCGTAGAGCCCTAGTTATTCTACGATAGCGGCACCTGTTCGCTCGATGTTTGTTCAGTTTGGCACAAGGTGGCACTATTTGACGGGAAATTTGAATTACAACTCAAATTTTTAAAATTCCAAAATCCAAGACGAAGGATATGGCCAAAAATGCTATCTCGGCTTTAGTTCAATAAATTTTTGTGAACCTCGGTGGAAGGGGTTATGTTTTGACCGAATTTTCGGTCAAATTTTGACGATTCAAAAACCCTAGATGGTGGAAGAGGCGTCAAATGCTGCGTGGCAATCGAGCTCTTTTGGCAACAAGTCGAAGCGATACCGTTGAAGGCGCTCTGCGCAACTATTCCGGCTCGGAAGTGTTGCACAATATCAAACGAAAATGAAGGCGCACCAACGTGTGTAAATCAACCGATACCGTTTAACATTAATAGCGTCTATGAAGCGGGCGCATTTGTGAGTGAATAAAAAAGCTTGGCGTGACCTATGCTTTCAAAGCTCGTTGAGATGAGACACGACGACAATCAACAGGTAATCACTGGTTAACGACATTCACGCTGATAAAAGTATTGGCTGAAGTGCGCTCGCCTTGCTCTTCATTTGCCGTGACTACTTGATACGCTCCCCCTCCTCCGCTCCAGGCTCCACCCCCCTCGTTCCACGCTCTTGTAAATGGGGTTGGAACGTACTCCGGGATGAGCTTTTTCAGTCGCGTGACGTCATGACAGGATTGCTTCCTGCTTCCTACGACTGAGTCACTTTCGGCTCCGAACAAAGATAGCCCATCTCTCTCGTTCTATTTGAACGGGTTATTTGAAAAAGGGCGTAACCGACAATGTTTTAGAAATGGAGTATTTGACGGAATACAACCTTTTGAGGTTGAACGCGTTTTACTAACGAGCAAAGGAGAAATTACACGCAAATTTTTTATCGCGCTTTGTCGGAGAGTGCTTAAAAAAGCTAGGAGCTCGCAGTATTTTTTTATCCTCGTTTATTAACTCTCTCTCTCTCTCTCTCTCTCTCCCTCTCTCTCCCCCTCTCTCTCTGGTATCTTTTCCTCTAATATGGGAAACAGCATTGATATAAAAATGAGAAAATGCGCCGCCTAGTGACGTCATCTGGCGTCCCTATGCATTTTAGTTGATTAGATAATTTTGTCATGTCTCCTCCAATAATGTTTCAATTCATAAACCAAGGATATCCTCGTGCTCAGTTGACTTTCCACTTAACGCGGAAACCTTCAAATTCTCCATTCTCCCAAAATTGCCCTTTAAACGTTTTTTCCAACATTTGAATACTTGCCTCAGCGCAGAATTAGGGCGTAAGTTCTGACCCATCTCTCCCAGCGCAGGGTACTTCTTATAGTAAGAACCATGAGTAAAGGTAGTTAGTATGATTTTGAATATTGTTATCGGACACGCATGCTACTTGACTGTCTCATCAATGCTAAAAATGAGTTTCATAAGAATTTTATGAGAGAGAGTTGAAATAAAAGGGTGTTTTCACCATAACTCATATTTTCAGCCCAACTTTGGCCCCTCTCGTGTAACTATTGTATTGTCTTATTACGAGTGGTAATTTTCATTAGAGAGTTTTTCGTGTTATCTCGGCTTTATTAGGAACGTGCCAATTCTTACTCTGCCGTGATAAGGAAAAACGTCGTATGAAAATTCGAGAGTTGCCAAATTTCCTTCGGAAAAATGTTTATTTTTAAGAAAAGTTATGAATATTTTCCCTTGGCATTTTCAGGGACTTTATGCGAAATTGCGAAGAACATTATCTGGAAAATTGGAAGGAAAATATTCATAAGTCTACCCGAAAATTTTTATTTTATCAAAGGAAATTTGGCAACGCCTGAAGGCTCATACGGCATTCTTTCCTAGCACGGCAGTGCTGTTAGAATGTTTACTGAAATGCGAAGCAGAACTCGCTCTGAGAATCGTTTTTCTTCAAATAAATCTGTGACGTTTTGGACGTAGAATTTCAACGGTAAACCCCGGAAAAATCTGACATGCACACTCTCCAAACCTGACTAATTTAATTCATTCCTCTGTTAACGTGCAATTTATGACCGCTTTTTAGGGCGTTGTCAAATATCGGTTTAAAATGTCTACTTTCCCTATAAAATTATACATGGTAAAAAATATTCAGATGCTTGAAACGTGGGAGGCAAGGAGAAAGGAGATCACATTAACAAATGTATGAGCCCTCGGGGACACTTACTTTGCATCCCCTTTCACTGCCAGTTGGCGTGCTCCTGCTTTCAACAGGTGGTAATAATATGTAGCCACCGCGAGCTCATTCATTTTTCTCGTTTGCCTTCTCCTTTCAAAGAATTTGCTGGTTGGTAAAAGGGATGGGCGCACGAAAGGAAGCCGGGGGGCCTGCCCCCCCTGGAATTGAAAATAGTATCATCTGCCCTCCCTCCCCCCACACAGAAAAAAATAGATGGTGCTGACGACAGAACCTTCTGTTCACAGGGCACCATCAGTTTTGTTGTTACACTTACAGAATTTTTCTGTTGTGAGAACAGAGCTTCGGTCATAGGAACAGAGTACTGTGTCCTCATTACGGAAGCTATGACTGTTACAAAAAAAGTACAGGAGCCCTGTGAACAGAACAATTTTTTTCACTGCAGGTGGGAAAAAACTTTCGTCAAGGGTGAAAATCCCTTTTAATGTAGTCTTAAATGAAAACGCCGTATCTAAATTATCAGTGTTTTCTAAAATTTTCATCGTGGAAGCCTCAATTTGCGTCCAAAGAGAATTAAAATTTCAACATTTTCCGGATGTGTTGAATGCAAAAATTCGAAAATATTTTAAAGTAAAAGTGAAAAAATAAAGATTTTTTCCGCAGAAACTGATGGAAAATCTGCGTCACGGGAGCCTCCAAACGCGTCCAAACAGAGTTGAAATTTCGAAAATTTTCCAGGAGAGGCCCCACAAATTCCCCCGTCGTGATAGGGGGAGCCGGGCCCCCAAGCAAAATGACTTAGGTACGCCTACGAAAAAAGAGAGGAAATAATTATAGCCTGGAATTTGTAAACTATTTTGTGAATTTTATTTCCTCTGCAGAAATCCAATTTTTTAAATATAGCTAAATGTATAGAATACAATACGTGCTCAATACATGCATGTCAAAACAAAACTGTAAACAGCCCAACAAATTAGCAACATTGAAGAAACATACGGGGGAAAAGACTGATATACAAAGCATGAGATGAGGCATTCAAATTTTTCCCACACCATGAGTCTTCGATTTTAAAATCCAATATTGAAAGTACCTCTATTTTTTTTTTTTTTCTTTAGGTTTCGATTGTGATTACTAAATGCAGTTTCGATACATATATCGTCTGCTTGTTTTTTTTTTGTAAAATATGCTCAACTTTGTTTTGTTATATTTCACCCCCTTTTTTTCCACA